GTATGTTGATAGTAGGCAAACCTTTGGTATACAGGCATGTCACATTCCCACCGTCCTGTGTTCGTTTCACTTTCAAGTCTTCTTTATTGTATGGATGTTGTAGGCCTGGTGTGTCGTCAGATCGTTAAGCTCCCGCTGACAGCAAATTGAGAGCTACCAGTGTGTGGCTGCCAGAACGCCACAGCTCGACATCGACAAAGCAGCCAGTTTCAATTGTCCTTACTAAAGCCTGGCATACAGTGTGAAAATTGGGATAGATTATGGTCAGGCAGGATTTCAGCCTGCTTGTCCAGTGTTCAAGAGGGAGGGCATTAGAGCTGATCGTAGTCCAATCAACTGCTCCAAACACTTAGGATGAATTTCTGGCAGGTTAGAAATATGGGAAGGCTGACTGCAAAATGAGAGCAGATTGTGCCTGTGTAAAATAGCTTTTATACACCTTATACTCATAGACATAAACCTGTCAACCATCCTCCGCTCAATCTAATTCAACAGCCCTTCCACTGTTATATTTTTACAAAATTTCTACTTTCTTAGTTTTTTTGTTGACGTGTCAAAAATGAGATGATTGCGCTGGAATTTATTCCACAACTTCAACTTCTGTATGTCTAAGTTTTCAATTTTACTGACAATTTTTTAAAGTTTCATCCGGATTTAACTGGATGTGAGCACCAAGGTTGTTCCTGACAGTCAGACACCACACAGCATGAGCACAAAAATAGAGTTCGTCAATCATACATCATCTTGTCTTGAGTATTTCTCAGCCTCCGAATGTTTTAGTTCTGGATGAAGTACAATTCTTTCCTCAGATTTTAAAGAATTGTTATTCAGTCCCTGAGTCTTAGAGTTTACTTCTAGGTCTTTTTTTCAACTACCTCCTGTCAAAGCATCAAACTTAATATCTGCACTAATCCTAAATTAAACATTTCTGCTGATACAGGATGTTTATAGAATGAAATCTAATGACATTGACAATGCAATCTTTTACAGTAGGTGGCAGAATGCATTTCTAAAATTCTTAACTAAAAACAAATTCACTCTCTTTCTACAATGACACAATTTTACATTTTTTTCAAGGGGGTTTTAGAGTCTGTGTAAGACCCCCTTTTTTAGCTGCTGCCTTTTCCATTATTGTTCAAAAAACGAAACTAGTAAACATAATGAGCCAAAGAGTTGGATCAGAACAAAAAACTGCATTATTCAACAGTACAATCTGGATGGTACATGCTCTTCTGAGTGAGCTCTCTCTCTCTCCCTTCTAGTCAAAAGAGGGCGGATGCAGCAAGTCACCACGGTTACAACAGATCTCACTATTCCTCTGCAACATTCGCTGAATTCACCAGACATTTCCACCAGTTCACAAGAAAACTGAGTAACATTTTTAAGACTTTTACAAAGATCTGTGTCGCCTTTCTGGGGCTTGGCTACAGTGTTCAAGTCTGACAGTCGTGTTTGTTTTGCTGTTTTCAAAAATAAGACCAAACTAGCAATTTAACGATGAAGTTAGAGTACTGCAATGACTTTGTGTTACACGAACAGAAACACCCCCAAAGCCAATCATACACAGGAACCTTACAGGATAATCTATTCCTACAACAAATGATGAAACATGGATGAAACCAGGACATGAGAGAAGCCATCTTTAGAGTAATTTCATGCATTCTGTCTTGTATGACTAACTTATACAAAAAGGGCAACTTTAAAACCAACCAACGCACCGCCATCTGTCCTAAACAGCAGACACATCATGAGCTCAGTCCTCTTCATCTGTAAAATGATATACATCACTGTAATTATTGCCCACATATCTGCCATCACTGCCAGAAAAACCCCCGTATAGGACATACAACAGGCAGCTGAGAGAAGCCACAGTGAGAGAGCAGGAGTTAGGATGTAGGTAGTGAGAGATTTACTGAGTGACGCACAGAGAATACAGTCTCCGGGATTTACGGCAGATCTGCTATGACTGAGGCGTAGACACCCCCAGAGCTGTCCTGGCTCGTTCGTATTAAGATTAATAATGCGACTATTTACAAGGCCCAGATCTCTCTTTAGACTCCCATCGCCCCTGTGCCAAACCACCGACAGAACAGAACAGAGCTGTGCGCAGAGGAGGGAGGAAGAGCGCTGTACGAGTGTGAGTAAGAAAACAGACCATAACACACCTCAGCGACTCCCCACAGCCGTTCTCTGTGATGCTGCGGTTTTAAACATTCTTACAAGCTGAGGCTGAATTTTATGTTTCATTAAATCCTTGTTGAAAGGTGCAATACTTGGAGTTTTTCCCCTTTTTATTTCACATCTTATATTGGTTTGCATTACATCCCGGGATTACTACGTCTGATTTGGTTTTTCCACACAGTGAGATATTAAGGGAAACATGCTTATTGTTTTATTACTCTACGACTCTACGTCTGACTGAAAAGGCTGAAACTGAAGCAGTAAACTTTTTTTTTAAAACAGCACTCACTGGCAAGTTGAGTAAAGTTGTTTTTGACAATGGTGGGAGACAGCACAGGCCACTCTGGTTATCAAAGGTTACTTCGTCTCTGGGGCTGGAGCAGACTGGCTGACCTGCACCCTCAGTGGATGGATGATTCACATGTGATGGATGCCACAGGTGAAAGGTGGAGTAGTCGGACATTTACTGACTTATACTGAACTGATAGAAAAACCAAGTGTGTAACAAGACGGTCAGCTCACAGGACGTGGCGAGACACAATGCTGAATCCATGAGACGAGATGAAACTTGAACACTTTTTAAAGAAAGTTTAAAAGCGACTGGAAAAATACTTCCATTTTACAAGTCCTGCTCGCTGAGTATAAATCATCTCCCTTTTGGCGACTAATACGATATAATTTATGTACCGAAGAGTGGTGTTGTTTGCACCTCTCCATCACATCTGTTATTGTTTATGTGAATGTTAATATTTCTATTAATATCAGTCCTTTTGTCTTTTCATATTAAAACATTCATCTGTGTTTTTATTGACAGGCAGCGGCAGCTGGTATTAAGAATTTCATTTTGAGACATTTCTATTACTTCTTCTATTCTGACAGCCAACAATTCAACAAAACAACATCTTAAAAGGGATAGTCTGTCGTAAATTTAAGTTATGGTCAAACACACCATAACAGCAAGTAAGACAACTCTCGAGAAATGAAGGTTGCTGACCGCTTGCTTCTCTAGTTACCAACTTCAGCAATGACCGCACGATAGCAATACACAAACAAGCGGCTGCTGGAGGAGAGTGGGTACCATTCTGCCCTGTCGTGGGGAGTGAGTTTACCCTCCAGCTTTGCCCTGATAACATTGTAAAAATGGTTTATAGAGCATCCAGTTAGCCTGACTCAATACCATACACAGCTCATTTGTAAAAAGTTACAATAAAATTTCCCTCTTTACTTAAATCATCCAAAAGCAAACTATAACCATAAAGTTGTGGTTGTTACAGGTTATGCCCAGAGCTCAAACCTCTCCAAGCCATGACGTAGCTCTATGCTAAGTTTACTTGCTGTTTGTTTGTTAATTTACTTTTATTATAAATCAGTGAACAAAGTAATTGGTTCCACTCTGGTGCGATAAAAAAACAGTGAAGTGAAAATTGTAAAAGACAGTTATCCCCCCAGATGGAGGGACCTGATACACATGAGTGGTGTTGTAATAGAATGATTGACAACCACAATGAGCGACCACTAAGTTTATACTCACACCTGAATCTGACAACAATCACAGGCTCAGGGAGGTGCAGGAGTACAACACAAGTGAAAAACACACACGATGGAATTTCTTATCACCGTGGGCCTTCCTTACCAACTCTTTAACGGCTTTCTGAATATTAAACCTCATTAATATTTTATAAAACTGAGACCTTTCCTTAGCTGAAAAAAACTTGTAAAAGCTTTCTTACCTGTCTATGAGGAGCGACAAGCCGGAGCAAAATAAATCATTCCAGTGTTGTCTTCAACTGTTCACCTTCCTGCGAATAAATGACATGCATGTTAATGATATTTCAACTTTTATTTTAGCTACACAATGTCTGGACTTTTTAAAAGGCAAAAGCAAACATTATATTTGGCATCCAACCTCGTGCTTGACTGGCAACCAGCAACAATTTCCAACTAATATATGATGTGAAAAGAGCACATCTCGCCAGGGGTATATTGATTTAAGAAGAAGCCTGTGGTCACTTTGTTCCACAAACTGTTAATCATAATCATATACCTCCCTTCTCTCTGTGGTATATTTTAATAGATAAAACAGTTAGAGGCCTACTGAACTTCATCAGGTACAAGTATTTGTTGTTTGTGCATTTTAAAAACAAGACAAATGGTGAGGCTTCTTTTTATTACAACAGCCCCGTCTATGGAACAGCTTACCTGAAGACCCGAGGACTGCACCTAATCTTAATGAATTTAAAAGCAAAGTGAAAACATACCTTTTGAGTCTTGCTTTTAACTAAATGTTATATCATTAACTTTGTTTAAGTGTATTAGCATTTATCTCTGCTCTTTTGTGTGTGTGTGTGTGTGTGTGTGTGTGTGTATGTGTGTGCTTGGGCAAAGAAATATGGCCCAAAAAAGCAAGATTTTTTGTCTTTTTTCCCCATGAGTATAAGCATCAGATTATTGTATTTTTTTTCTTGATTAAAACGCCAAAGCTCTAACAGTAGACCTACCTAAGAACGGGTTTTGACCACAAAGGAAATACTCCTCAAGGTGTTCGTTTGTCCTCTTACCTCTTTAATCACTATAGCGCCGCCATAGCGGCGGTTTGAGACGCTCGCAGTCGCGCTCGGCTCTTCCTGTTGTGACAGTTTGTTCGCTAGTTTACTTTCCTCTTAGCAGCTCTAGCTTACTAGCAACAACTGGCCGAATCTCGGGCCGTTTCCCCGTAAATAATACATAATTTCAGCGCGTTTGGCGAAGCAATTTCCGGTTTGGCGAACCTCGGTGGGTGAACGTTACTCACCTGCGTGACGAGAAGCGGAAATACGTCACTTGGAGTGCACTTGTTCTACTGAGGACGTTCGAAGAAGCGGAAGAGGTGATCCGTTTTCCCAGTAAAGGTGAGTAAAGGTACACGAACAAAATTTACTAAGTGTCTCTCTGATATTGAAAGGTTTTTTTAGGTTTAAATTCATGTAGATGGTTGTTCATATGACTTCTGTTACTCTCACGATGAGGTTAAATGTTATAATTCAGAATTCCCAGATCCAGAGTGACTGTGCTATCCTCTGTCCTCTTTATTTCTGTCCTTCGAAATCCCTGAATAACTTGGCCTTAAGTTAATCAGATGCATAAACCTAGCATAAAAGTCCATCATTTTAGCTTAGTGGACTAATAAAGTCTGATGAGAGGATCAGAGTTTCAGTTCAGATTGTTGAAATGTGTTAATTTTTATGGGGTAAGTTGACGTTAGGAGACCACTTATTTTGGCATGCTATATTATCAAGACAGTTATGTTTGCACTCATTCTGTTAGTTTGCAGGGATGCACAACTCTTGAAATATATGCAGATTTACTAGTTAGAGACATAACTTTGATTGTATTGATGTAGTGATCTGAAATATGAAAAATGGCTCATCTTACCCCACTCTCCCCTGAACCTAACTGTGGTTCACATTTTAGTTCAGGTTTATTAAATTTTGACTTTTCACTATTGGTAGAAACTTTTCAAAACTTTCTTCAAGACAGAAACATGAACTATTTTCCCCAAAACTTTTGAATACCTTGTCCAGACAGTTTTGTTACCTTTCTGTTCTTGAATTTGGGACTCTATGCCACTAATTTTCTTTAAAAATGAAGCAATAGTGATCTTCTTCAGTTGGGGTCACAGTCAGGGTAACGTGTCTGTCATTAGATACATGTCTGGAATGTCTGGATCACAGAAACCTTCAGAGGAAGAGAATTTACACTGACAGCAGAAAAAGGGGAATCAGTCCTCCCTAAAGCCGAGCCTTAATATTTTATTATCTCTTCATGTCGGAGTAGGTCGTCCAGCCCTTTTTGGTCCATCTGTGTTTGAGCCAGAGAATGAGGAGTATAGCCCTCAGAGACACCAGCGGAGAGGAAACAGAATGATGTCATGACATAGCAGAGGGCGTTATTGAGTTTTGAGGTTAGGATTTGGCAGATAATTACGGTGGGAATTGTTCTGCAATTTATTCTAAGATTAGCCTTTTCATACTTGATCACAAAAATCTATCTGGGTCACAAGAAACAACGCAATCAAGATGTCTGAGAGCAAACGAGTTTGATTTAAAGCACATTTTTAAGTATGATAAAATGTTTTGCTTTCCTCATCTCGTTCCAGATTTAGTCCTCCTCTGAGCAAAAGCGTCCCATCTAATCCCATTTAATGTCTAACTATAACAAGATGACAAACCAAAAAAAAGCTGCTTCATGCTGGCATCTTGGTGCGACTGTCAAGTTTTTATGTGTCAGGATACAATGACATAATCTTTAAGGGGGGGAAAAAATGTAGCAGTGACACACAGGCTTCGTCTGTCTTTAGGATGTTGTGGAAAATTTGGCTCAGAGATTAAAGTTATAATTTAAGATCCAAGAAGTGTTTCATGTGTTTTCTCTGAAACGCCCCTCCTCTTTATTGCTCTGTCAGAGTCATGCTTAATCCCCTCGCGCTAGCTTTGGACCCAAACACTGTGACATAAAAGCTTTTCAATTACCACATAAAGTGCACGTCTTTACTCATGAAGCAGCGTCGCACACTCTTGACTTAGAGAGACGTTAGACGGGGAATTAGATGTTATCGTTTAATGCCACTGAGATCTTCTGACTTTGAAGCACTAATGTAGCTTTACTGTGCTCTTTGAGGGCATTTTATGCTAATAATAACTTACTGTATGTGTCGGCTTTGTGTTCCCCCTCTTATAAAGACACTTGTTTGACTTTTCGCACCATTTTATTAGTTCTCTTTGTCTGTGGTTGACATTAAAGTGTTTCTTAAGTGTTTCCATGATGCAGTAAAGCTCGCCTTAAAATGCTTTTACAGACTTTACAACTAGACGTTGAAATCCTTCGTCTTCTGCAATGGCAAAAAGTTGGTCATCAGGTGCTGCGACTTGGTTGATTTTATTCTGAAACTCTGTGGTGGTTAAACTGGAAGTGATTTTCCTCTTCATGGCGTACTTGTGGCAGCAGTTTTCCCCACCTCTTGAACAGTGAAAATATCCCCAACTGTGATGCTGTTTTGACTCTTGCTAAAACTACGCTTGTTACTCTAATTCTTCTCTAACCGTAACCATAACATTTCACCACCGTCTATGTTAGAATTTGAAGTCTTACAACATCGCTGTATTCCTTTCTGCATTAAACCGAGCCCTCCCGCTGCACCCTGCATTCAGTTTATCACTGTCTAATATTTAGTTGATGTTTTTCCTCCCAGTTACATGGCATAAATACTCTTGACGTCCTGATAGTACCCGTATAATTTGATGAGCCGCATTCATGGCTGACTTAATCTCTGATTTAATCTTGCAAATGCTGCTAGATTCCAGTTCAATTAAAAAGCCAAACACTTCTGTCATCCCTCTCCAGCAGCTGTGCAAAGGCAGGACAGATGCAACCCGCAGCCTCGTCTCGTAAACAGTTGGGGATCCATCCATGCCAATTATAACCCCACAACAGTTGGCTGAATGGGATTCATTATCTTAAGGTAAGCAAAAGCACATCGTTTAGTACAGGATTAAGCTGATGAGCCATCATCAAACCAATACTTGGATAGATATCACAGCCGAGCTATTCCTCAGTGATCTCTAACCCCTGCATGCTCTACCAGAAACGCCCAGCAGAGGCCACTGTGGCCTTCACAAGACCTTTGACATCAGCTCCCATCTCCCTCCTAGACTCACAGGTTACCTCAGCTTTAAGGCAGCTGACTGACACAAGAGGGCCCCTAAAATGATGCAAATGAAATGCCTTCTGATGCAACATTCAGATTTTTGGTTTTCCATTCATAAAGGGTCTGCACATGGTCTCTGCCCTGGCTTGAAATTGTAGCCCAGTTTAGTAAATAGACCCTGTGTGTGATTGATGAGCACACTTCATTAATTTTAAGTCAGTTCTCAGAAGTAAGACTAGATTCAGCCTCCATGCTGGCAAAGTTATTCTGTTACTGTTAGTCAGATTATTCTTAACCAAACTGGATCCCGTTTCTATAAACTTTGCTAGCTGGTGTGTTGATCTAAAGTCACAGAGTGATCTAGCGAGGGCTGGATTTTCCTCTTTTTAAGGTTGTACTTTATTTTGAATTGGTTTTCGCTAGAGTCTGTTCATAGTAATGGTCCTTCACTCTGGTTGTCACAATTCATAAACCGGAAGAGAGACAAAGAAAATGCAGTTGCAAGCGAGCTAGCGGTAGCAGCCCTCTGAGACATAATCAGACACTTTTAAATACTAACTCAAGATTTATTTTGAATCTGATAACGATATTAGGGCTTCTTTGAACTGTTTTTGTTCAGTTATGTAACTTGTGATCTATTGGCTTGTACTTCAAAATAAAAGCATGATTTTACAATTCAGAAAAGAAATCAAACTTAATGCAAAAGAGAAAAATATCAAAACAAAAGCATGACAAACAATTGTGTTTCAAGGTACTGTCTTTTCCATTAAATTTCACTTACGTCCCTTATGATGGGAAAAAATCATGAATTTGAATATTATTAGAAACAGATGATGTCATTTAAGTCTTTTTGCAATTTTTAGTTAAGTTTATAAAGTAGCGTATTTAAGTTCCTCTCAAATATAACAATAATATTGTTGTTACTGATATTTTATGGCTACAATAATCGTGAGGTTTAACATCTGACATCTTGACGGCCCTACTTTGGGCAGTACCTGACCGTAATTCCAACTTTATGGGCTGGGGATCAACAGGTGTGTCAAATCCTAAAGGCCCTTTAAGAGTCCTAAAACAGCGTTAGGCCCAAGCAGCAACCTCCAGTGTTGAAAAAAAGGAAGTGAAATTGTGTGAAACTGTGTTTAACTTTCCTCTTGAGGCTGACTCGAAAATGTGGGAAAAGGCCAAAAGATCCCACAGTGAAATGTTCTTTTTAATATTAAATTATTAAAGCTAAGGGTTCAATGTAATTTAAAGGGCATCTGATTTGATGGACAGGTTTCTGAGATAAAAGTAAATCAAAGTCAACAACCACCTTGGAGTCTCTCATGGTCCCTCTTCAGAGACCCGTGAGCGGCAGTAGGACGACCACATCCGTGTTTTCTATGGTGTATATGATTAGATTCCACTGACTCCACATGAGGTTTGCTTTGTTTGTATTTGTGTTGTTTAGACTTTCATGATATTAGATGAGACAGTGCTTCAGTGCTCTTTGAGCTCCGCTGCATTGTGCCTGTTCCTGCCACACTGTAGTGCCTGTGATGTTTGATAAAGCTGAGCCTCTTGTGTAACATCTGTAGCTGCTGCAGATTGAATTTTTCTGTGCGGATGCATGAGGCGGTGTTTGCTCTCACTAACTGTAATAATCTTTGTTTTATCTCTCTCTGCCCTGGTATTACCTTTCACTTTACAAGGGGAGGACACTCCAGTGAGAAACAATAATAATGTCTGCCCATAAACAGTCATTTGCACAGGCTGGGTAGCTCCCAGCTTACAGAGCAGCTATAGGCACAAGATGGATGTTATTGGCAGACGGAAGCTGAGAGGCGGTGCGTCTTATCTCCCTTCTGAACACAACTAATGTCCCGTAAGGAAGCAGGTGTGGACGGGGAGGCGGGGCAGGAGGGAAAAGGATACGTAAAGCTTAATGGATCAGAAATGGTGGCTGAGAGATCAATCTCCCTCTCTCCCTTTTTTCTACATCTCTCTTTTGATTGTTTCCGATGGTTTTGTTTTGTGCATGGAAGCGACAAGCTCAGGCCCCTCGATGAGTCAAAGCCTCCGCTCCATTCAACCAATAAACACCCCAGGAAATATCACCACCATTTGTCTTTGAAATTATCTTGCATCCAAATAGTGTTTTACGCCTGTTTGTTTTGTGCCTTTTTTTTCTACAAGGCGGGGTGCAAAATAGCAACAGACTTGGATGCTAAATCTCTAACAACGTGCAGATTTGCTGACATGAATGATTACAGCGGGTTCACAAGCAACCGGTCTTTGTAGATAAACACCAAAGTCTGTGTTTACTGCGGCAGGCAGAGGACAAACATTTTTCAGCCCAGAACTGTAAAAGAAAAGTTTATTCTCTAGTCTTTTAAGTTCACAAGACCACTCCAAACCGCCTTTTCTTGCTGAATGCAACAACATGTTTTGTTAAACAGTGTCGTCGGGCAGGAGGCGGTTTGTAAAAAGGAAGAAATCATTTAAGTAAGGCGGGGGATCTAGCAGCCAAGAAATAAAAGATAAGATGTGGAATATTTGTCCTTCAAAATTCAGTAAAGTGTGCACAGTGCTCTGATTGGCGATGCGAATTATGGCTCTTTTTAGTGATCCAGATCATTTGGCTCAGCTGAGCAGTAAAAGCTGGCTCTTCTGGCGTCTGAACAGCTCTTCATAGTGTCATTTTGGCTTCACTAAATCAGCCGTTTGTTGCGATGTTTTGACCTGTGATTGGTGTGTGAAAAGTCCTCTATAGTCTTACACCTGACGCTAAAAATTTACGTTTTTAAGTGGTCTTATTTCGGTTTGACACAATGAATTTAACTTATACAGCTCCTTTCAAAGGACCCAAGGTCGCTTTACAAAGTGGAGTCATAAACTAATGATACTAAGAGGATGCAGGCGGTGATAAACAGGGGATGTTTGAGTGGTTTTAAATGTGCCCAGTGATGAGGCACTTTGGATATCTGTGGAGAGGTTGTTCCAGAGGGTGGGAGCTGTCCTGTGGCACTGAAAGCCCTGCCTCCATGTGTACAGAGTCTGGTGTTTAGGATGGACAGCAGACCAGTGTCTGAAGACCTGAGGTTCCCGGAAAGGCATACAGGTGAAGGAGGTCAGAGTGGTATCGAGGGGTTGGGGCTTAGAGGGAGTTTTTTGGTGAGGGGTAGTATTTTGTAATCGGTGCTGGAATTCATTGGAAGCCTGTGGAGGCGGAGAAGCGTTGGGGGGGATGTGCTGCCAGGGCTTGGTGTGGGTGAGAACCCTGGCAGCTGAGTTTTGTACATACTGGAGCCTGTCCAGAGATTTGCTGGGTACCCCAGACAGGAGTTCATAGCAGTCAGGATGTGATGAAAGTGTTTTTCAGACAAAAGAAGGCAGATTTAAGGACAGAGGTGATGTGGGAGTAAGAGGGAGGGTGGAGTCCATAATGACACCCAGGTTATGGACTTTGGAGGATGGACGGATGGTGCATCCATCTAAATCCAAAATTAGATTTCCAGCCTTCCTGAGCAGCGCCTTGGGGGCCACAAACACAAGCTCGGTTTTATTGTTGTTGAGTTTGAGGAAATTGTGTGACATCTAGTTTTTTATTTTATGGAGGCAGGTGAACAGGGAGTGTGTGTGTGTGTGTGTGTGTGTGGGGGGGGGGGGGGGGTAGTAGTAGTTCTAAGGTGGAGCAGTTTGTCATCTGCGTAGAAGTAGAAGTTGAGACTGTGTTGGTGGATGATCTGTCCCAGTGGGCGCATGTAGATAATAAATAGGAGGGAACCGAGCACAGAGCCTTGAGGAACACCACAGTTAACTGGGGCTGGAGGAGGGAGAGTGGGAGTTTCAGATGGTGGCACACTGTCCCTGAAACCAGTAAAGAGCTGGTCCTGTGATGCCAAAGTGCAGATAAGCATTGGAGGAGGACATAGTAGGGGATTGTCTGGACTTTGTGACATGGTTGAATACTGTCAAATCTAAACTGTCTTGACTACATAATAAAAAATTCAACCTTTTTTTGGTGTACCGCTTGTTCACATGGTAAACTAAACACGTATGCTTTTTTTTATGCAGTCACAGCAAATAAAAGAAAAAAAAATCAAAATTCGGCTTCAAGATTTTCTAAAAGAGGGTCAGCAGAGGTAATTATAGTGAAGCGCTATTTGTTCTGCTGAGCGAAAGTGGTGCTTATTTTCCTTTTTTTAAGGTCTGAAGAAGTCTGAAATTTGCTTTTAAACAGTGTAAAGCAACCCTAGAGTGTTCAAATCTTTTACTTAATTTCTGTTGAAAAAGTAATATCATATGATTAAGCTCCAGTCCTCATGTCTGTGGCCCTGCAGTGCCAAGAGAGGATGGACCCTTTATTCAGTCATGCATAAAATAACAGACAAGGAAACCAAATTCACACAAGAGTAGGTGCAAATCATCCGTGTACAAGAGTCATTTTAGACAAACAAAAGACAACTTCTAACAATACAGTATATTTTGTGCAGTAAAGCAGAAGCTAGAATTGAACACAGATACTCAGAGTTTTCTTTTATCCTTGGACGCTTTAATCTCCCTGAGATGTTTTAACAACGTGTGTATTAAAGAGGACAAAGATGCAAACAAAGAGTGTCAAATCGAATCAAAGTGTGTGTATCAGAGGGATTTTGAAGGAGCTGTGATGATGAAAATGATGAAATTGGTGTGAAATGACAAAAAAGATAAGCACTTATTATTTCAGCTGCGAATCATCAGCAGACCTCACAGCTGCAGTGTGTTTGGTGGCAAATCCTCTTTTCTATCTGCTGCTGTTTTCAAAATAAAACAGTGTCTCCTTTCACTAGATTCTGCGTCCCAAACTATGGGGTCAATTTTGGGTTATGTTTTGTCACAGAGGCAGACAGCCTGGTAATGTAAGGATAACTCGCTGTGGAGGGCATCAGGGACACACTGACTGAAAACTTTATTTACAAGATTCAGACTGAAACGAGGATGAAGAGCAACACGAGTTCGCAGTCACACGTCTTTTTTGGCTGCGAGAATAAAAGAAGCGAAATCAGCGACGGCGACAGACACATTCTTCATGCTTCAGGGGTTAAAAAGACGCCCTTTGGGTCGAGGCCACATGCTTCCAATTAGGCCTCAAATAGGCAAGAGGAAACAGTTGATTTAAGAATATTACTGAAGAATGACTCTAATTAGACGAGAGACTAAGGGGCGCTGGATGTGTCGGCGGCAAACACGGCCAGGCAGAATTAATCAGCAGCACCAACATGTGCTTTCTGAGACCATAGTCAGCGAAAACAAGAGGATTAAAGGCGGTGATATTTGTTTACCATAACACTTCTTATAAATCATTGAAGAGAAGTTGAAAGGAGAAGATGAAGAGAGAGGAGATGAGAGAGACATCTTGTCGCTTCTCTCTCAACAGCTGGAGCCACCTCACTATTCTCACCTCAAAGTGGCTCAGCAGGAACGTGACTTTCAAACCATCAGAGGGTTCATTTGAAAGGCAAATCTGGCTGAATTGAATGTCAGTGTGTTGCTCTACCCACAAAGCCTGGATTTATTAGATTGAGAGGGCTGTGAGTCACTCACTCTGAATATTACAGTGAGGTATATTTATTAATGTAGTGGTGGTAATGGGAGGTGCAGAAGATCGTATCTCTCAAAGGTGTTTTTATTGGTTTATTAGGATCAGACAGCCAGAGGGATATTAAATATTTTGTTGCTGATTCAATTCAGTTGCTGACACAAACTAGATTAAAAAACTGAACAACAGCTTCTCAAAAGTGAAGCCGAAACATTGAGGGGGAGAACAATTGGTCTCCTCTGTATCATAAAGAGAAAGGACGGAGGTCAAACTATGAGGTCAAAATATCCCAAATTGATTCTGTTCACAAAGTTTTTATCTTTATAGCTCATTTTTATCGCCAAAAGTTTGTTTTTTTCTGTGAAGCATAAGAGCAGTGTTCCTCGACTTTTCATGCAGCCTCTGCACATGAAACTGAGGGGTTGTGTCCTCTTCCTGCCTCAGGCTTCGACATTTAATGCACTCTCATGGAGGAGCAGGGAAACAATTAATCATCTTTGACATAAGTGGTCCTGACTGAACCATCCGTCCAGAGCGATGTGTAATTAACACAGGCATGTGGGCTCGAACCATAGGCTGTATATAGAATGGACGCCGTCTACCTCCCTGTTGAGTGAGACCACTGCAGGAACAGCACCCTCTGTTGATGGGCTGCAGTATAGGTCATAAATCCCACCTCCTCCAACAATCTCTATGAAGCTGTGGACAAACTTTAGAAATCTATTACACAGAATATAAGTTTTTCTCCCTCCCTGGTTGTGATGTTGACATGTAGTTATTGTAAGACTGGTTTGTGCTAAGTCCTCTTTTTTCTGTACTTTTCTGTAAGTTATCAGGGGGTTCATGTTTTTTGTGATTGACACTTGATACAGCCAGTAGGCGTACGAAGATTGCAAACTGGAGGGATACACTGTTTGAGCTGAGCGTCATCGCGGCCACTCTTAGTGACTCTCCCACTTACTGTGTACAACGCTACTGCTAGGGTGACCACATTCTGACTTACTGAAAAGAGGACACGACTACGCGGGGGCGGAGTCACAGTGTTGCAGGAAGTTAATTATGAGAGTTTTTCGTGTTGGATTGAGTGTCTTTTACGTGCTTCTAACTCAGTTAGTCCACGTGACACAAAATTGAAACTTAGGTACAAAACCGCAGACATTTGAAGGATTTTATAAACTCCCCCAGACAAGGCCAGACAGGCTGGATAGCCCCCATAAAAGGAGACATGTCTGGGTAAAAGAGGACGTATGGTCACTCTAGCTACTACGCAATGTTGGTTTTGTGAAGTGGAGAAAAGAAAACAGAAATACTGAGAGCTTTTTGGCTTCAAATCTGTATACTGGCGGAAGGCAGAACCAAGATGTCCATACAGTCTATGGCTCGAACCTGCAAGGAGGACTGTGGGGTAGAGCTAGCTCTGCTATCATTAGCTGCGCCTGAGAAACCCATCTGAAATTAGTGTCTTAAGATCACCCTCAGCAACAAAGCGCTTTCTCTTTGTCTCTTTCTGTTTTATACTGACTTGAGGAACAGTTTCAGCAGACTGTACCTATAATGCAGTTTTATTGTGCGGTATCATTAAAGCCTTTATTTCCTTGAGTGTTTTCATTTCACTGTAATGAGTTTAAAGGAAGGCTCTGAAATCCTCCCTCTAACGCTGCCTGTAGCGCATACCTCTCAGATTTCCCTCAGTCACAAATCAAATCAGTCAGCCTCATATAAAATGCTCCTCCGATTTCAGTCTCTGCCTCCTGCTGGTGTAATACTAATCATCACTTTATCAATTCACTTTGATTATGTATTGCAGCAGCGGCTCCCCGGAGAGGTACTATGCTTTCAAACAAGTCGACTGAAACTTTCATTGCATTTATATTCTGGCGCTGACTTAACCAGGTAGAGAACCACCTAAGATGACTCTTTGTAATTATACTGCAATTACCCAGCAGACTCAGCGAGCCGCTGGAAGAAGCAGCGTATTTGAACCATTATGGGGCTCTGACAGCTTCACTTAATTGATTGATGCACGGAGACTAACTGATGATTACTATGCTGTGCGCTCGCATGAATCATCTCACAAAGCCACACGTCACACTTGAGAGAGCACGGGTATCTGGAGCAAAACTTCACACCTCACAGAGGGTGTTAATACACACGCAAATGTTCGCGTATTATCATTCTGGCTGTGTGTGCAGGCGTACAGGTGTCTCTGTGAATACGCCGATCCATTGTGTATGATTACCACAGAGGTTTCAGACAGAACATTGTGTCTCTCTGCTTGACTTCACACACCGACTGTTTCTTACAAAAAAAAAAATTCTGCTGTTTTCTTTGCATTCCTTAAATAGTTTCTGTCTCAGAGGCGTGAGTTCCTGCAGGACTGAGAGTGAATGATAACAGAGGCTTACAAAGCTCTGGTGTAATTGACATTTATCCATATATGGTTCTCCGTCTGTTCTTTCCATTTACAAATAATAAAAGAATGATTAGAAGAAACTCATATTTTATTGTTTTAAGAATAAGAAATAAAAGTAAACCGCTTCATAAAAACCCATGTGGGCAGAGTTTTGAGCTGTGTTGTTTTGGCCCATTTTTCAGGATGCTAAGGGTTCGGCTCAGGTGCATGAGAGGCAGGTCAAATTAAAAAGTGGAGTGACGCGTTTGTTTTGAAGTTTTTGAGGTTACAAGCTCACAAAATTGGCGGATTTTATGTCGGGAGTATTGCTTGGAAATAAATGGAAAACGTGTGTGAGAAGGCGAGTGCGGACTGGAGTGACGGAAAAACTGTCGAGGGTTGGGCAGGCAAACAAACAGAAGGAAAATACTATGACCTGATTCTTCACTGTGCAATTTCTCAACCATGAATCTTCAGTAAGTATCAGAGTCCGTCATGCTTTTGGTTCTGTGCAGCTTCATGTCCTGACTGATAGGGACATGTGCAACAAAACCAGTTTGATTGCATTATTTTATTTCACTGCAAAGCCTGTTCGAATACTTCAGACATAATCATGGCATCAGTCTTTTTAATCTCTCAGTTTGTACGGTTGCCACAAAATGTAACAATACTCACAATACTTAAAAGTTGTAATCATAGAAAACTACAACTATACCATTATGAGTCTGTAAAATGATAGACTAAGGATTCCCATCAGTATTTATGACTTCAATCTAAAACCCCGTCAGGACACAGATACAGTGGTGTACAGTAAAGGAGCCACGTCCCCTCCATTCATGTGCACTTTGTCCTACATATTTGTATATTTCTCAGCAGAGGCGGCCGCCTTGGCCTTCAACTGCTTCCAGATGTGGAATGTCAGAGATAATCTGTCTTAGTGAATCTTGATGTGAGAGCAGGGTGTCCCGCAGAAGCTGAAGGTCCAGATCCGGCTCCCAGATAATAGACACCCTACACGTGCAGAAAACAAGAGGAAATACACACCTTGGCACACACAGACATACAAGCACAAACACTGAGGCATGAAGCCAGACAGTTTTCAGGCAGGAGAAGAGACCCCAAAGAGAGAAAGTCTAAACTAGGTTTATAAAAAATGTTATCAGCACAGTGTGCAGAATTTCTTTCAATTTGGAGACTTGGAGACTTGAATGGAAAATAACTGTAAGTCTGTGGAGCTACAGTTTGCGCTGGTGCACAAAAATGTCCTGGCTGCTAGAGTAGCTGGACTGATATAAACCCCCCCACACTGACCCTCAGGTGGGTACAGTCCACAGCAGAGCGAACTCTTGTATTGATCTGATGCAGACACTCATGGGAATGGAAAGTTCATTGACCCTTGTGTTAGTCTCTACTTTGCTTATTTAGTACAGAACCCTGCATGTGCCTCATTTGTCAACAGAGCTGCAGTTCATGATGTCACCTCCCCTCTCTTCAAAGTTAGATAACTAATTGAATGTAAAGTTTGAAGAAAAATGAGCACATACATAAACAAAATGGAAACATATAGAGCATATTTTTATAGTTTGGCTCTTCTCCAATCTAATGGAAGCAAAGTTTATGACCTATACTGTGTACAGTCACTAGGGGGAGCTCTCAATCTTTTAGCTTCAAAGCTGATGAATACTTATAGTGTCCATTTGTGTACTGTGTGTGGTGAAGGATCATCATTCCCACTGGGTGCTTTTTGGTCTAAAAGACATTCAAATGTAGCCTAGACGACTGGTCTAAAATCAGGCTGCCACAGGTCTAAAAATTAAAGTTTTTTAGACGTCTAAATTTAGATAAAGCTTAGACCAAGTCTAAATCTGGGCTGTATCTATACTACACTGTATATTGCTCGACGCTATCATGGTTATTTTGGTTAAGTACTTGGAGATTAGTTATGCAACTCACAGTTGTTTTTTGAAATAAATACTTATTGAATAATGGGTTAAAGTGCAACATCTAAATTCTGTCTAAAATATACAGAATCTCGATGGTTGAAATTAGGTCTAAAAAAAACTAGACGTCTAATAGCCGTCTATTGCTCAGTGGGTTGTCAGGCATCACAGGAGCCACTGTTGATTCACGATCAGGAGGGGCGAGCAGGGGAGCATTTCATTACTTCATACACATTTGGCAAAAAAAGATTCATTTTAGCAAGTGACAAACAAGCACAGAAAACATCTCACAGACAGCATTCTTTAATTTATTTTACAAATATGGACATGCATTTTATCCATATTCATTATTATGATTCTTTTTCAGGCTGGTTTTAAAAGTCTGGCAGATACTTAGCACATGTGTGTAAGCAATATTAAGACTAAAATAACTTTATTTAGGGTTATATTACGAGATGGAATCCAATTCTTGATATGAAACTTAGGCTTAAATAACTACAATAAGACTTCTGTCCACGCTCTTTACTAGTCAGATCCTTAGCAGTCCACACACATGTACGTTATACCGCTTTTCACAACAGGATAAATCACTTCTGTGTGTTTCTTTTTATGTATGTGAACACTGTCAAATGGTGAGCATGTGTGTATATTATGTTGTGGTTTTATTCTTTCATTGCCGTTCATTCATCCCGTTTATCCAACTGTTTTTATGTGTATTGATTTGAAGTGGTTTATCACTGATGGTTAGCAGATGCTATTAAAAAAGAGAGAGAGAGCATATAGGGAAGACAGAAATCTCTGATGCCGTTTGAAACGTGAGAACAAGCATGTTTAATTCGCCTTATCGACAATGCACATTACCAATATGTCTCTCTGAGTTATGTTCAGAAAATAAGCAAACATACAGAATGTATTGCAACACAGAGGATGGATTTCTGGATGTTTTAGTAAAACTATTTACATTTGGTTTTCTGTTTTGGTTCGGAGGGGAAACATTCAGTATTGCTTTTCTTTACAGCTGGGCTCCAGGACCTTTCGCTGGCTGCTCTCCCACAGCCAACATAAACAACCAAGGCTGTACGCCATGTACCGGGCATCACAGCAACCCAACGTGTACATGGCAACAGAACAGAGCAGAGGCTGGGCGCTCGAGAAGCCCGTCGTCCAATCCCAGTAAAGTTTTCCAAACTGGTTAAAGTGTCCAAAGTAATCATTGTAGTTTAGAGGGAAAACTTCTGAAAAAAAATCCCCTTTACAAACACAAATACGTAGAGAATTAATGTCACTGCTGTACTTCTGGGTATTTTTCTGGCCGCAAAAACAAAAGACTGGCTTTGTCCGCGAGACAGAATTTCCCTGGCACCGCAGCAGTCGTCATAATGTTTGGCAGCAAGTTGCGTTTATGGACGACTTTTAGAGCAAGATACACGTCCACAGAGGGTAAAATCATTCAACCAGGCCGAGCTGGAAACCTTCCTGAATTAGCATCTTCAAAACAGACTTGAAAGTACATCCACATCCGTGACAAGACTCTCACTCTTTTTCTACAGGCTGAACGGGATATCCAAGTATGTTATTCAAGGGCTCTCCGGTGGTAGAGGAGGCAATGTGTCAATAAGACGCCAGGTTGCAGATCATAAAGCATAACAAGCTCACATTTCTCATAACAGTCTGCTTCTGCTTGAGGCAAAATGGAAGCATTTTGGAAGAGAGAAAAAAAAGAGGAGAAGAAAAAATACTCTGTCAGATGTTGGATTCCAGACATCGTTGCTCATTGTCGTCTCTGCAGAGAGCAGAGCAAAATTTGAGGCTCCTTTTCAAAGTCATCCCAGAAAGTCTAATGCCAAATAGGTGGTTGGAAATTACCAATAACTTTAACAGTGAAGATAAATCAGATGGAGACCATAGCAGAAGTAAATCTGAGTCATGCTTCATGTATTTTCTTTGGTTGATAAGTTTTCATTTTAGTCTTTTTGTTTCTGAGTAGCTGACTTTGCTACAGTCGCTGACCGTAGCCACAAAGCTTTCTGTTCTTGCACAGCATAATGATTTACAGAGGCAGTTTCACGCTACTGTTTCAGATTTATTTGTGTTTGATTATAGACAGAGTAATACAAAAGCAGTCCTATCATGGTGACTATTGGTGTGTAACTGAGGATAAAACTCCCAAACCTCAATCCCTGGAACAAAACAGGGCTGCTAACATAATGCCGTGGCTTTGACTCCAGTTTCATAGACTGAAATATTACAGCACTAAATGCAGTTTTTATGAACCTTAAACCCGACTTACAAATGTCCCTAACAAACTGTAGTCAACACTGTTGAGTTTTTTTTATCTTCAGAGTAACGTAAAGGAAACGAATTGGCTGGATGCTACCAAATGCAGCCTCAAAAATGGATAAACACCAGTCTTAGAATCAGAAATATTCAGGATCTCAGGTCTAAACTGATCTGTAAGATGTGTCTGAGGGTCAAGCATTCATCTAAAACAGAGTCATGACTGGCCTATCAACTCAACTCAACGCAACTTTATTTATAGAGCACTTTAAATACAAACAAAGCTGACACGAAGTGCTGTACATAACATAAAAACATAAAAGATAAAACAACAATAAATAGTTTTTTAAAAATATAATAAAAAAGCAATAAAACAATAAAATTAAAACAATAAATCAAATCATTAATGGCCTGTTTTTAATGGGAGTACCACAAGGGTCTATTTTAGGTCCACTATTTTTGTCTATTTATATTAACGTTATAATGTATTCCCCCTATCTAAAACGTTTTATGACACCTGTTTTAGCTGATCATTGTTCACCTTCTGTTGACCTGCTCTCTCTTCTTTTCCTGTTCAACATCATTGTAAAAGAAGGTCAGTCCTTGATGGTTTTCCAGTTTAAATAAAGGTAATAGCATAAGTGTTCAGTGATTTAAATAAAAAGGACATTGGTGGCCACATGAAATCAGGGTTTGGAGAGAAATTATTTAGTTCAGTCTCTCTTCCCTCCTGTTTCTGCTCAGTTTTGGGTCAGATAAGTGTGTTTGGTATCCCTGCAGAAGAATGCAAAAAAGGAGTTGGTTATTTTAGTACTTTTACCACTTTTCATCGATGGGAATGCGAAAAATTTGTTGGTTTATTTTAGGCTTTTTTGTTGCACCAGTTGTTGGGGAGTTCAATAAAAATTGAAATGAGACACTCTTCTAGTTTTGTGAAAAAGTCTGTCTGCCATCCCAGAAACACCTTTATCCACTTTTATACTTTTTTTTGTTTGGTTTGAATAACTTTTTACACACAAGTATTGCATCATGATAAGACAGTCTGAAACAGGCTGATGGATCTGCCAGGTTTTCTTGCAGTTCTGAAGATGTGTATTTGTAAGGTTAGCTAACAGTAGCAGTAGTCTCTGTTGATTGTTTCCATCCCCTGTCACCTTCCGATCACTCCTACTGTCTTTCCTCCTAACTCCCCAACAAACCTTGCCCTCACTCTTGAGTAACTTTCCCCAATTCTCGCCTTATTTCTCGCTCTTTCAATGGGTTCTTGACGTTCCTGATCGTGTCTGGTCCGTTCTCATCTGATCTCTCTCTCTCTCTCTCTCTCTCTCTCTCTCTCTCTCTCTCTCTCTCTCTCTCTCACTCTCTCTCTCTCTCTCCTCTCTGCTCCCTTGCCTCCTGCCTCCTTCCTCCTCTCTCACAGAGATGTGAGGAGCCCTGCCCGGGTTCTGGCCTCCAAACAAGCGGTTGCCTTGTGAGGCTCTGTTTGCTTTGCGAGGTGTTTTCTCACATAGCGGCGTTTCACGGCCTGGCCCGGCAGATCACACCTCTGTGTGTACGCTGTGTGTGTGTACATATATATATATGTGTGTGTTGAACACTCAGTATGAAGTTTGTTTATTCACTCATAGTTTGGGCACATTCTTCGCTGCGTAGATGTAAGCATGCATCTGTGTGTGTTTTTCTGCTCTCTTTGTGCGCCGTGTGTGTGAGCATATGTTTACAGGACTTAGTTGTATATGTTTGGAATGAGAGTTGCCCCCGGGTTGTGCGGGGGCACCTACGGCTTCACTCACTGGGTAACTAATGAACGCAGGCATGCGTGCCTTCCTGTTTTCTGTATCAACAAACATTTAAGAGAAATCAGCAGGTCTTTACAAGGCTTTATTAGAACAGCTAAGCAGAAAAACACCACCTATCTAAAGTCCCTTTTATTAAAAATGAAGGTACAGAAAACATACCGCCACAGCGATCTTATCTCAGGCTAAAAATTTTGCGCTTCATTAAATAGGATTTGCAATTTTACTATAATTTATTGAGAAGTAAAGCTATAAATGATCATGTATGTAAGAAGGTTATTGCTTTTGAACCTGTTAAATCAACTAATCAACATTTTCATCAAAATATGCTATTAATAATGCATCAGGGATTTTTCTGCCACTGTATTAAAGATTTTAAAGTGAGGTCAAAAAGCTGAGGAGCTGCTGCAGGTACATTTTTCATCGATACGACTGTTAATAATGTATAAAAGCCAGACTTATTAGAAAAATCATCAGAAGCTAGTGTTGGGGTTAATGCAGAGGGTTTTACTCCTTTATACGGTGATGTATTACTCTTCCCACGTGTACAACCCGAGCCAGGCAGCAGACTCGGCAGCAGACGGCTGCCAGACATGTTTCATACCTGCAGAACTCACACATTGTTCCAGGTCGCCCTTGTTTCATAAAGGGGGATTTTTAAAGGGGAATTTTCCTGATCCAAATCACAGTTTGAGGTTAGAGGGGGTTGTTAAACATTGTAATGGCCCTTGAGGTATTTTTGGTATTTGTAATACGGGCGATTCAACTTGTCTTGACTACAACTTTTTTTTGTCTCTAACTTTTTTACAGCATTTTCCAGTTTTCTCTCTTTTATTCTTCCACTCATAACAGAGAGCTGCCATTATCCTGACCAGCTCCATATCAGTAACTCGAGGTTTTCAAAGCATCGTTCGGCTACATCCAGACAAGACAAGACAAGACAAGTGCTCCTTCACTCCCTTGAGGCTGTATAAGCCCATTAAAGTCATCATTGATTAAGATGTAACATGGCGGATTTATAAATAATGGATTAACCACACAAATACATTAAAATGCAATATTCTCTGCCATCGTAGATACAGATGATTATTTTTTTATATTTGTTCGAATAGCTTTTTCACGCTCTGAGCCCGTTATTTTATCGATTTTGTCGTTTTTTCCAACCCCTTTCCACGCTGAAGGTCATGCCTATTGATTTTGCCTGTAAGTGTTGCCACATGGGATTGACCAACACCTCAGATAAAGACATTTATATACTCTGCTCATTTAAAATGTACAGTACTGTAAACCACAGGCCGCACTGAAGTAGTGGTATTCCAATAATAAAGTTTTTCACTTACAGATGAATAAGAGTTATTGAATCTAGTGTTGGCCTACAAGTGTAGGCAGTAGGGCAACATGAGGCTGTTTTCTATTCACATGGTGGCTATTTTCCGCTGACAATAGGTTCAAAGTAGAAAGCCCAGATGCTGTTGTATTGTTGCAGTTTGAAGGTCATACAAGTAAGAAGTAATATCGAGTGAGTGGGTTGTTTCAGCAGCTGACGGCATGAGCAGGAACCTCAATGCTAATCGTAGAGGTCTTGCTTCACCCTAAAGGGTTCAGTATACATTATCCTGCTCGTCACATGAGTTTTCAGCGGGTTATGAAACAGGCTGAAATGAATGTTTGTGAGCTGTAAAAGCAAAGACGGATTAACTATTTCCAGACGGTTACTCCTGATGCATGGAACTGCTGGTATCAGACAGAGCGATGATGAGAGCAAGCTGCAGAAACAACCTTTTGTTTGTTCTGATCACAACAATTTTACTCGCAGTGTTTGATTTTCATTGGCAAAGATTTACTTAAAGGGGTACAACTGACTTCAAGCAAGATAAGATTTGTAATTTGTAAGAAACGCTAATTCCACATCAGAGCTGGGCACACGTTCATTCATCTGCTAATCCGTAATCTTCAGCGTTACTGTTTTTAATTAACTCTACACATGGATGTTTATTTGAAAAAGATTATCAAAATGTTTTACCTCCATGGCTGCAGACGTTGACGCTACACCAGGGGGGCCTAGTGATGAGCTTGTTGTGAGCGACTGGGATCTAAAAACCAGCTGTTGTACTTGAACAAAACTAAAGAGAGCAGTTTGGGAGCCAAAAGTGCTCGTTCTCGCTGAGCCAGAACTGGAAAGAACAAAGAGGGTATATGCCAAGGGTGTCAACTCCAGAAGGAACCATCATCCAAACGCTGCTCTTACAGGACAAGACGGATCATGAACAACTAAGCCAAAACTTACAGTCTCTGTTGACTTGAAGTAATCCATGAATCTTAAAGGTGGGGTAGGCAGGAATCCGTTAAAGAAGCATCTTTTTTTGTGGTGTATAAACAATAAAGCTTTTAATATTGGTCAATAGCTATTAGTTGTTGATGACATTTGGTAATAAAACAATATTGCTGTGTTTTGTTATGTCTGTGTAGTCAACATTTTAATTTTTTTGAGTGGCCCACTCTTTCTGACTGTAAGCAAAGCCATTCTCCGCCTCCCCCAACCTGATTGGTTGTGAGGCGTACGCTGCTCTCCTGTGTCGTTCAGGAGCCCAAACAAAGTTAGCGTGCTACAATATCGGACAGTAGAAACCAACCAGAAAGTACGGAAAACACAAGCAAGAAAACAAAGTAAATTCCGGAGACTCTGGCGGAATAACAGGCGCTAAAAACGGAGGTAGACTGGACAAGACCTAAAAAGCATAAATGATGGGGAACGCTTTGGGATCTAACAGACCCTGAAACCTTTCTGCTGGACAGGTAAACCGCTTTAACAAAGTAAGCCAAGTGTCTGTAACAGAAGTGTTTCTTGTCAAACAGGACCTGCTGCGTGCTGTAGCGCCGCTAAACTTGTTGACCTCAGGTCCTGGACTATGTCACTTTATCCTGGTTGTAGAAGTCCTGCAAACATTGTGTTTGCTGGTCGTCTGTTGGCATCTACAGTAGCACCAATGCTGTTTACTTTCACGTTGACTGGGCCCCATTTTAATTATCTGAAGTATTTATCTGCATTATATCTGAATTTAATTGAAACGATACGAGCGAGCAGGAGCGTCTGTTTGTGGGCGGGGCTCGCTGGAGCAGAGAGGGAGGGGTAGTGTTTACGTTCAAGATTTTTCCCCAAAACTGGCGCTTCCTCAGATTCTGCCTACCCAACCTCTAATGAGTATGATCAAACACTGTGCAAGATATCAACCAATCAGAACTTTAGACTAAAAACCAGACTTGAAAAAGCCAATTCAGCTTTTTGCCTTAAACATAACTCAGATTGTGTTAATCTAAGGAACCAAAGTCTTTCTGTAGAGAAGCCCTTTGTCATCACACAGAAAAAAAAACTGTAACTCTCAGCACATTCCCGAATCCTGACACAAATCCTCAAATAGATAAAAAAAGCACTTCTACATTTTGTGTTTTTTTTTATCACACCTGTCCACTTGACAGCTCCAGCCTCTCTTTAAGACATCTGAGGCGACGCTCGCAGAGATGTTAGCATTCCCCATCTCGACTCAAGCTGGGGCCTTTAAGCTGAAAATCACCTGAGGGACGGGATTTCCCCAAAGATTATCTCTGAGTGGAAGGCAGAGCACGAACACTGGTTTCTGCTGCTCTCTGCAAACTTAAAGAACATTTAGAGTCAAAAAAAGTAAATGTAAGAAAGACTGAAACCCAGCGAAATGAAAACGACATGCCAAATCAAACTTTGTTTTTCTTTTTACATAATCGCGAATCACTTTGGATCTCAAGAGAGAAAGTCATGGCCACCAAAACACTTGTCCCCCTTGAACAACCTCACAAACTCCCCTCTGATGGTATCTCTGCAGCTGTACATTTCATGCAGAAAGATGAAAACACAGACAAACTCTTATGCAACTTAAATTTCAGCACTCCAACACCATGACCTCCCTCTCTCTCCGCGCTCTCATACCCACAGAGAGAATGACTGGTTGGAACCAGACAAAGAGGAATTTCAGCACTGTGTCCAAACATCAGAGACCGGAGCAGAGATCACATTGCATGTGGATGTAGTTTTTGAGCTTACACTGATACTAGCCTCACGCTGACTGCAAGCTTTCACACGATTGGCTAACAGTAAGTGCTTATGCAATAGAGAGGACAGAAAGCAGACTTTGAGCAGAACTCTCTGGATTTACCGATGACGTTGGTGGACCTTTGGTACCCCGAACACTGGTACATAAATCAGCATGAGTGGAACTGACTGTGACTGAAAGCAAAATTTAGAGGATTTATTTGATGTGTGTATTTTAAATATTTAGTTTCAATCATGTTTCATCTAGTTAAATGGAGGAGGCATGTTTTAATATCTGTAGTTGGTCAGTAGGGGGAGCTCTAAGTGTTCAGGCTGTGTTGCTGATCCGTCGTGACTAAACCACTTGGTTATCCAGGCATGAGTCATCCACTCGGTGTTGTTTTTTATACAATTTTAGAATATAAGTGGGAAATTTGATGAATTAATCAAAGAAAATACAATCTTTGCATATTCAAACATGAATTAAAAAGTCCATAAGATTTTAAAAAATGGCAAAAGACTCAAAATCACAAACAGAAACTTTACTTGACAGCAAGAGACAAAAGAGTGTTTTACTGTATTGTTTTCATGATTTTGATTCCTCTAAGTTGTAATGTTACGACACCTAATAGTGTGGATTACTGATAGACACTAAATTAAAATGGTTACGTCACAAACTTAAAATCTAGCGCACTTGTTCTGCCATCGAAAGCAAACTTCGATCTGAAAATTAAATCCCTCAATAAGCAGTTCTGAGTCTGTCATTTCAGACGAATCCTACTCACTTTCTCTCGAGTCTCTGGTGTTTGCTGTGATGGGCTCTCTGGTGACCAGTTCACTAGAAGCATGTAGTTTGGTTGGGTGCTTCATGAGATCAGAAGAAGTTATCCTTTCCTCATGTAGACAAAAACTTACCTTTATTTTCTTGTCGTTTACCTTAAGGAGAGAAAGATGCAAACATACCCAAGACAGAGAGCTCAATGATCATTTTAATGTAATTTCAATGGCCTTGATACATTTGTAAGTAGATAAACTAGACTAAGTCAAATTAGATTCAAGACTAATCGTAGCAACATCTTTGGACTGTGGAAGGACGCAAGGGTATCTGGAAGGATGTAAACTTCACACAGAAAGGCCCCTCCTAGGATTTTCACCTTAGACCTTCTTGCTAAAAGATTACAGAGTTAAAGCAGACTGTAATGATTGATACATTTTGACTTTAAGGTGAAATGTTGGATATAAAAGACATTTTAACACTGAAAAACAATGGTAGATTTGAATAAAATAGGTTTTATTCAACAATGTCGAACAAATGGACCCTCAAAGGTGGTGCCCTCCTGACTACATCTCTAGAAGCCGTCATATTATTACTCCACACAGGTTCATACAACACAGGTTCCCATTTTAGAAACTCCAGCCCTCGCCTTTCCCCTCACCCTTTCTTTCAAAACTTCCACCTCTGTTTTCTGTCTCACTCTCTTCTGTCTGTCGGCTCTCCCTCCCTCAAACATCCCTCTCTCTCTTTTTCATAAAAACACGCCCGTTCGTACACAGGAGTTTTCCTGTACTCCGCACCCCTTTCCCAGCAGAGTGATGCAGCTTTGCTTTATGTGAGATACCAGAGTTCAGGGCTTGCGGCAGAATGACTGACTGGCTTGTGGAGAGGACAGAGGAACCATTTTGTGCCCTGCTGCCTCACTGAATCCCTTTAAAATATTCATTCATAAACTCCCGGAGCCTTTTACTCCACATCAAACATTAGACCCACAGGAGAGGCACTGAGCTGATGCATCCAGAGAGAAAAACACAAACACGGGGTAAACAGGACCACGGGTGAAGACCAAAATTAATCTAAATATTGATGTGCTAAATATACGCTGATATATTCATTGTGTTCTTAGGGAAATGGTTTGGATCAGAAGTGAGTCAACAGGATGTAAATTAGTAAAAATGTGCAAAAGCTGGTGTAACCGCGGTAACAGAGTAGCTGTTTACCTCTTTAAAATAATCAGAGACAATAAGACTCCTTCAATTCTTTAAAAGTGCGTGCCCTGTGTGAATATGAAT